TGTCTTTTAAAGCAGTTATGTAGTTAGACATGGTCTCTCTTTTTTTTCTCCAAGTGAAAGAAAGATCCATCAAATTCTAAGAAATGATGACATAATATTTTGACAATATTAGTTAGGAAATGTGTAGCAAATGTATTGATGAAACTTGATTGTATTGTTGGTGAAGGATAAAGCAACCAGTGTTTTTTTTTTTTTTTTTAACTCTTTCCCTCTTTTTGTGCTGCAGGTATCGAGGGAAACACAAGGTTATGGTTCTCCAGGCCACCTTGACCACAGACACTTGAGTCTGTTGTAAAGTTTACCTGGAGCTTTTCTCCAAATCCTTGGTCTTTCTCAGACTGTGTGCCCCTTTCCTCTATAGGTTTCTCTTGTATGATAGGACATCACAAGGTGTGGGCAAACCATTTCATCTGCTGTCTTTGTGTGTAATTTTATTTAGTCCTGGTTCTATGCCAACCCTTTCTTCTGTCTCCTGATTCTGTTTATTTCAACTAACCACACAGGTAGCATTTCTCAAACATCTGATTTCCATGGTAATGCATGTTTATTTCTACATTATTGTTTGACTTGCCGCTAGAAAATATGTTGACTCAATGACTTGGGGGTGTTTCATGTTTGTTTGAACATTTGTTTAACGAGCAGGTAATGGACATGTGCTGCTGTCAACCTGCTGATGGCAGGAAAGGGTTCAGCACATTTGTTTTTTGTACAGTGAATACTTGTGTAAATATCTCTGTTATGTTGTGGGGAAGAGGGGGGAGTTTGTGTGGAGATGTGAGGTCATATTGAAGTTGCTTATGCTCTAGTGTGTTCATCATAAAAAAAATTTAATAAACATGCAGTTAAAAAACCTGAAACCTGCTGTTGGTTTCCTTATAACTATTGTCTGTTCATTTTTTTCTTCTGACCAATCAGAATCTGCAGTGTTGTGAATGTAGTTTCACAAATCCAAAAATACTTGAGAGGGCAGCTACAGTGTAGGCAGTTTTAAATAAAGGTGGGTAATAAAATCCTTTAAACACTTGTCGACCAACTACAAAGACAAGGTCAACCAGAGAGATGAATAGAGGCTGATGATATTTGCAGTAGAAATAATATATAGTCAGCCAACTGGATCAATCAAAAATAGTCAAGGAAAGGTACTTACTAACACTAAAGATCAAATGGACAGATGGGTTGAATATTTTGAAATGCTTCTAAATAGACTAGGCCCAGAGGTTCCCCCAGATATCCAGCCTTTAGAAATGGAACTGGATATCAACGGTGAGATACCATCCAAAGAGGAAATTAGAAAAGATATAAATCTTCTCAAGGAAGGAAAGGCGACAGACCCAGATGGTATCCCAGCTGAAGCCATCAGGACCAACATAAACACATCAACAGAATTGCTACATAGATTATTCAGTAAAGTCTGGAAGACCGAAGAAATACCAGCAGACTGGAGAGAAGAATATCTTGTGATACTGCCCAAAAAAGGTGATCTACAGGAGTGTGAACACTATAGAGGAATTATGTTACTGTCAGTTCCTGGAAAAATATTAAGTAGAATTATTTTGGAAAGATTAAAAGATGCTATTGATAAAATGCTAAGAGATGAGAAGGCAGGTTTTCGGTCAAACAGATCCTGTACTGATCAGATAGCCACATTACGTATTATAATAGAGCAAAGCATTGCACTGAACTCACCACTTTACATTGGATTTATAGACTATTCTTCTTCTTTTTATTGGTTATCCTAGTGACATAACTGCATTTACAGCATAGCTGCAATATTCATGCACCTTTTGGCTGGAACTTTGTCAGTTCATTTGCTGATATTGTTTCCATACCAAGATGCAAGATTATTCAAAGTTGCATTTGACAGCATTGATAGGGAATCTCTCTGGAAATTGATGGGGCACTATGGAATCCCACAGAAAATTATCAACTTAGTAAAGGCAACATATAAAGACATGAAATGTCGAGTTCTTCATGAGGGAAAGCTAACAGATGCATTTGAAATAAAAACAGGTGTGCGACAGGGAAGTCTTTTGTCGCCTCTCTTATTTTTACTGACTATAGACTGGACTATGAAAACAGTAACTGCTAACACCAAGAATGGAATTCAGTGGACCCCTACAAAACAGCTTGATGATCTGGACTTCGCTGATGATATTGCTCTTCTGTCCCATTCACGGAATCAGATGCAAGATAAATTAAATATACTTAATGCGAGATCACAGCAGCTTGGTCTGAAAATCCATAAAGGAAAGACAAAGATAATGAGAATAAATCAGGCAAATAGTAATGTGGTTTCTCTGAATGGCACCCCACTCCAAGACATGGAGTCGTACACCTATTTAGGCAGTAATGTAGATAAAGATGGAGGAACTGATAGAGATATTAAAATAAGAATACAAAAGGCAAGAGGGGCTTTCATAGCACTAGGGAATTTGTGGAGGTCAAAAGAAATTTAAAAAAATACTAAACTAAAAATTTTTAATTCTAATGTCAAATCAGTACTATTGTATGGGGCGGAAAAATGGAGAACAACCAAGGCAATTACTAATAAATTACAGACATTCATTAACTGGTGCCTGCGCAGAATAGAGGGATTAAAATGGTATGATAGAATAACTAATGTAGAACTTTGGGAGAGAACTAAACAGGCTCCAGTGGATCAGGAGGTGAGGAAAAGACGCTGGCGTTGGATAGGGCACACACTGAGAAAACAGGAGAACAGCATAACTAGAATGTCTTTGCACTGGAACCCACAGGGGCATAGGAATAAAGGAAGGCAAAAAAACACATGGAGAAGAGAGCTGGAGAATGAGGTTAGATTGGGAGGACATGGGGAGAGCTTCATGCAATGGCGAAGGATAGAACGACTTGGCGTGAGTTGGTTGAGGGCCTATGCTCCATTGAGGGATAGAAAGGCAGAAGAAGAAGAAGAAACTAAGGGTTCAGAATGCTGAAGAAGTAGACAAAATAAAATGAGCAACTTTGAATAATCTTGCATCTTGGTATGGAAACAATATCAGCATATGAACTGACAAAGTTCCAGCCAAAAGGTGCATGAATATTGCAGCTATGCTGTAAATGCAGTTATGTCACTAGGATAACCAATAAAAAGAAGAAGAAGAAGCAAAGTGTGGAAAGACATGATCATCAATGTGAATGGAAGATGAGCAAAGCGATTGGAGAACTTTTTTGAAATATGCCCACACCTATGGCAAGCAGTGTACGTCTAATTCTTAAGAGATCAAAGATTTCCTCATAAATTATGTAAGCCTTTTCCTCTGTTCACTGTTTAGTTAGTTGGCACCTATCCTTATTTCCAGATCAAAGTCTTCTATTTCGCTTCAGAGAGGCACTGGAAACACAGCCCATGGTGATGGTGAGTGTGACTAGCAAGACCTGCCTGTGTTTAAACATTCTTCTGCAATTAAGAACACTAGATTTCAAGACCATTGTATCCTTCGCAGGTGTTCAGTGTGCTTCTTCTTAGACATTCAGCTCTCACTTTAATGGAGGGCACAGAACCTGGTGAGGAATGGATAAGAGTTCCAGCAGAGCTGTGTATATCCTTTTCAGTCTGCATATAAAACTGGGTAGAGATTGCAAACAACAAGGCCCGTTGGTGGTTGAGTCAAAAGTTCAAGCCTTAGTTCCTGAAAATTCTGCTGATGGAAGTGCAGTTATCTACACTGGCAGTCCGTGATTCAACACGTACACAGTTCATGGGCTTTCACGGTTCTGGTTCAAGGGAAAACTAAAAGAAGAAACCGGTGCTTTTGCCTCAACTACAAGTAGTGACTATGGAGGTGACAAAAGCAATGATGTGGCTAGAGGTACAACAGTTTTCCCAGGCATACTTTTTTTTTATTATATGAGCATGCTTAAGAAGATAGAGACAGAATGGATTTGAAGAAAATGGTTGGAGCCGTGAATGAAATCTCGTGTGAAAGGAATTCATGTAATTTTGTGCCAGGACACTCTAGGGTAAGAGGGCATGAATGAGCAGATTGGCTGGCTGGCAGGTACAGGAAAACCAGTTAATCAAGTCAACATTCTTAATGCTCTGATGGAGGCAGGATGAGAAGATCATTCAGGAGACGATCTTGAATCTGCAACACTCAAAAGACTACACAAACTTCAGGTCAAAAGAGGTGTCACCAAACACGAACTCTATACAGGTAGTCAAAAAAAAAAAAAAAAAGAATAGTAAACCAACTTAGAACTGGTGTTATCAATTGCCACACGCTGGGGGATATACTGAAGATGGGATTCGAGCACTTATGGGTTTGTCCAATGTACAGTGAGGATAATCTTTCAATGAACTATTAACTCAGCTCTCAACCTATCCAGAATCATTGTCTCCTTAGTCAGCTATTTTCCAGGTTTTTACTCAACACGGATGTTGCAGTGAGTTGAGGAATATTTCAAGGGCAACATGAAACAGCAGATGTAATCGATTCTGGCTTCCTGTTAGAAACATCTGAAAATACTGGCTTCCTGTCAAAACATCTGTAAATACTGGCTTCCTGTCAGAAACATCTGAAAATACTGGCTTATCGTGCAATTATTTTCACAATTGTTAAAGGTACATGAATTATGTTATCTTTCCTCTTAAGCCTAAGATGGTGCCTAGGGCAAAGGTCATAGCTTTCCATGTTTGGCAGTTCGCTGCCACCTGATTTACGTCTTGGATATTCATTAGGCTCATAGCTGAGCCTTCCCTGATGATGGTTCTACGAAGTCTCTTTTGGTCTTCCCCATTTTCTGTCCCCTTCCGGTGTCCATATAAGGGGTTAATGGGGGAGTCTTGACTAATCCATTCTGAGCACATGATCGATGTAATACCAGCGGCACTTTCTTACAAAATCAGATACATTTTCTTGCTAGGCCTCTTGGGTATTGGATCTGAAATCTAACACATGAATGTTGAAGACAAATTCAAAAAGAACCTGGCAATGTTTACAAAAAGTATTTATTTTATGACAAAATATTAATTTTATAATTTACAATCCTTCTCTGTCTTTTGGCTTGTACTTTCTCAATTCTATCTTCTTTTCATGACGTTGTCTGGGAAAGAAAAAGTAACATATTAAACTAGAATGTACCCATATCAGAAGCCTACAATCCACACTCTAGACATCTAATGGGGAAGGGTAAAACGTGTTCACATATCCTTTACAGGACCCAACAAACCAACCCCAACATTTGTTGGGTGGGTAATTTCTTTTAGTTCACCCCCAGCTTAAGGACTCTGGGATTTTGTGGGCAGCTCCCGGGAAGTTTAATATTCTGGGGGTGAGGGGGGATTAGCCTTAGTGTTCATTTCCCATTCTAACACCCTTATAATATTGGACCTTCGCCGAAACTCCCTAAGAAATTTCTGAGTCCCCAAGATTTGGTGAAATACAAGAAAAGAACAACTGGATGTGTCCTCCATATGGGTTTCAGGGCCCCATTGTGAGGGGGGGGGGGGGGGGGGAAGAATATGCAGATGCCAGGGGTGCTTCCTTCACAGAGGAGCAGCTGGCCAAATGGTTAGAACACTGGGTCCTAAAGTGGAAGACTCGGGTTTGAATTCTCGGTAAGGCTGGGGATTTTTAGATCAGGGGCACACAAAAAAATCCTCATCTGCACAGTCCGTGGCGACAGCACTAGCCATGCGGCCTTAAATCCTCAGTCTCAAAGACCCCCCTGCCTACTTTGCAAAAGTGGTATAATAAAGACAGTAATTGGCTTCCTACAAAGTTGGACTGCATCTGCCAGAGAGGCGAATAATCAACAGTTTGCGGATAAATAGGCCAGATCCGTAAAGCGGATGTGTACACAAAACTCAAACTGTGGACAAAGACTTCAGCTCAGAAGTGGATAAACAACCAGCTCCGGAGTTTAATGTGAAGAACAAGAAGGATGTTGTGTTATTTTCATCGTGCTCTTGTGCCACTATACTTTACACAGAGATCACAACACTGTCATTGCACTCCATCATGTGCAGTCTTTTGGATATCACAACTGGAATCTTGTCTAGGCCTCTGTCAGCAATGTTCACATTTCAATAGCAATATGGGACTATCTTAACCTGTTTACAGCTAAACCAAGTACTACCAGGGAGCGGCAGCCATGCTCGCCTGCCAGCCTGAAGGTGCAGAGTTCAAATCCACATCAAGTCGGATTTTTCTTGTTGTTAAATGACCTTGGCTCGCAGCTCGACCCAGCCGCAAATGGGTACCAATTAAAGTCCTGGGTTAATCACATCGCTCATCGAGCAATAGCTGGTTTAAAATATACAGAACTAGCAATATATACCGCCCAGCTCCCTAGCTCAGTTGGTTAAACCTGACTTGGCTGCGACCGGGTGACGAACTTCTTGTCCACGGGTTCACGCCCGGGGGTAGGCAAAAAAAAAGCCTCAGATTTACGGTATTTATCATGGAATCAAGGCCAAAGGGCTGCGATATCCATAGTACTGAGCCAGAGTGTTAAGAACCCATGGTTTCTGGATATTTAAAAAAAAAAAAAAAAGCAATAGATGCCCACTATGCCTAAGGGTGTGGAAAAGAGTCCTTTACTTTTACTATTTCTCTGATTTGCCAAAGCTATGAATTAGGTCAGCTGTGGATAAGTGATGTCGCAGACCATAATGCATGTAATAAAACAGAAGTGCAGTACAAATACTTTTTTTTTCTAAATGTTACTCTTGGAGCATGGAAAAAAGTTGAAAATGCTGACAAAAATATCTTCTGAACCTTATTCTTAAAGTATGAAACAACATGGAGAAATGTGACAAAAATACCTTCTTCTAAATGCCTGTCGTGTAGTATGAAACAGCTGCGCCAGTTCTGGAACTGTTGGTCCATCTGGTCTATTTTTCAGTTTTTCATCCAGCAAATATTGGACTTTCAGCACAGAGTCGCCCTGGCAATATTAATGTGAGGACAGTATTTTGTTAGTGGTTATTATCTATTTTCATACTCATGACAAATCTCTTGCGGAAATACTGTTATGACATCACTGACTTCTACCAGCAAGACAATGTACCGCGATCAAAACCCACTGCTGGCTGCGGGGATTTTTTATTATGGTATGGGGCGTCGCAGCCCGACCCAGCCTAAAATGGGTACCAGGATGGCTGTCCTGGGGAAGTAAAGATGGCTGGCGTAATGCTGACCACATTACCCATCGAGTGCCGATTGGCCTGTAAAAATATGGGACGCTCTTCCCATATACCTGATGCGTCTAAGGCGTGAAAAGGGATCTTTACTTTTACCAACAAGACAAATGAAGTGATAAACATTTGTCAGGACACTGTTTGCTTCTATGGCGTATAATAAGCTGATGAAGCCTTATCAAGTAGGGAACCATAGTGCACTCTTTCATTAAATCACCGGCCTAGAACCTTCCATTTCAACAACTTCAACCTAACGTTGAACTGTCCATCTACTGACAGGATGTAGGTCTGGGTTTCTCTTCATGTGGTTTCTGCCGGAGCTGACCAATAAACAAGCTACCATCAACACAGCTCCTGCTGCAAACGGAATACACACTTCTCTACCACTTCATGGTGAAGAGACACATCAAAGGGCTCCTGCTGCAAACGGAATACACACTTCTCTACCACTTCATGGTGAAGAGACACATCAAAGGGCTCCTGCTGCAAACGGAATACACACTTCTCTACCACTTCATGGTGAAGAGACACACATCACAGGGCTCCTGCTGCAAACGGAATACACACTTCTCTACCACTTCATGGTGGAGAGACACATCAACACAGCTCCTGCTGCAAACGGAATACACACTTCTCTACCACTTCATGGTGAAGAGACACACATCACAGGGCTCCTGCTGCAAACGGAATACACACTTCTCTACCACTTCATGGTGAAGAGACACATCAGAGGGCTGATCAATCTTAACCATGATTATGATAACCAGAGGAGTGGGAGTATAAGAAAGGAACCTATGAAAGATTATTAAGAATGCTTATCTGATATTGATACTGGCAAATGGAAGTGGAATGTATAGTGATTTATTTTGTTTTGTTTCTGGAAAAAAGGGTAGTTGACAACTACAACTAAATAAAAGGCTTAGGAAACACTGATCTATGCCAAGAGATTCATATTCCTCCAACTGCTCATTAGAGGCACTTGGACTTCTGGGGGCATATTTATCTTCAACAGACAAGAGCACAGCAAATGTCATAAAATGATCTTTCTGGCAGATGCTAAGTCAGCCAGACGAGGAAATGTTAACCAAAATACAGGTAGTTTGTAGGCTTAACACAATAGCTGATTCTCACAGGCTTTTCTGTAGAATGATCTGTCCTGCAGTGGGAAGCAATGAAGTAGCAGACAGACTAGCCAAAAACGGTAGTGACACAAGAGTTGTAGCTAACCAGTTGGCAACACAGACAAGTGCTGCAAGTGTGCTGAGTGATTCTTTGAGCATGATCCGGCGGCTCGAGGCAGGCTGGTTACGCAGACAGTGGATTTAGTCATTGCAAAACTCTCCTGTGTGTGCAGTTACCTTTATATTTGTCTCAGGGGATGCAGGTGTTGATAATGAAAGAGCTGATAGACTGGCAGGTGCTGCATTATTTGAAGATGGTTGGCCTATGGATCATGCAGACACTGTCAATGCCTATCAGAGAGCTAGGACATTCCGAGGATTTTGGAATGCAACATCTCCACATCACTGCTAAGAATACGACAACTGGGAGTAAAGATCAGAACAGCCAAGCATGAGAAGTACACCAGACGCACACGAAGTCTTGTCAACCAGCATAAAACTGGCACCATTAACCAGGCGACGCTAATGAATATGTTGAGGGGAGAATCTGAGCACCTATAGATGTGTCCGGAGTGCTGTGAAGATAATCCAACTCATAACTCACTGACAAGTGCTCACAACCTTTGACTCCTATCAGAGCAGTCAAATACTTACAGCCGTCACCAAAATGTTGTCGATTCACCATTATAACCACAATAATAAACTTTCACCTTTAACTTTCCTGCTTTTTGTCTGTATCCACACCTTTGATCAAATATGTCGGCCAAAGGTGCATAAATTGCAGTTATGCTACAAACAGGCACACTGCAGTTACGACCTTGGATTAGCACAGAAGAAGTAGTATGCAGTTTCAACAATGCCATTCTGTTGTAAAATATACAAATAGCAAACCAAAAAGTAAAACACACAAATGACAAGATAACATGCTCACCTCCTCTAGTTCTGTTTTGGCACGGGGTAGTGGCTGCCAGTCAGAAGAAAGCAATGACATTTGTAATGCACCCTCAAAGATTTACTCATCATCACTTTCAAATACTCAACAAATCTGATCAATACATTGCAACAAATTAGTCTATGCAGTTCATTATCATCATTCCGTAATACTATGTGTTGTTGAATCACCAGTTTCTGATGACTGTCTGATCAGCTCTCTCTACCTTTGGTGGTCAGTTGCGATGGACTTCATGGTTGCATGCCTGAGGCCTGTCAGGTTCTGTAACCAGGTCTTTCTTGGTCTGCCTCTTCTCTTCTTTCCCTCTACTGAGCCCTGCAGTCTTGTTTTCCTGAGGCCGTTAGATCTTATTACATGTCCATACCACTGCGTTTTTCGTCTTTTTACTTTAGTTAATTACAAGAGGTTCATAGTTGCCAATGTGCTGTATAATTTTACGGCAAACGTCTTCGTTTGAAATATGGTCTCTGTATGATATGCAAAGAATTTTTCTGAAACATCGCATTTCTAATGCTTGTATCTTTCTTTCAAGTTCAGCTGTTAAGGTCCGCGTTTTACAGCCATATGTGAATGTACTAATAGCTAGTGCTCTGAGCAATCGAATCTGAGTTTTGCAGGAAATGTTTTTCATCAGCAAAAGTTTTTTTCATCATAATGTCTGCTACTTGGGAAGGATTGATGTTGTCTTGGTATGCAGTTAATTATTGAAATATATGTTTCCGTAAAAATATGGCTATAGGACCCAGTGGTTAGTGACCACACTTACTCAAACCCCTGACAATATGGCTATAGGACCCAGTGGTTAGTGACCACAGTTACTCAAACCCCTGACAATATGGCTATAGGACCCAGTGGTTAGTGACCACACTTACTCAAACCCCTGACAATTTGGTTACATTTCTACGGTGAGCAGTTCAGAGAAGACCATTCTCGTGGCTTTCAGTGAGTGGTACTAAAGTTGGCTATCCTCCGACTAACGGCCGATAAAGATGGCGGCCGCAAAATATCCTTTCGAGCCACAGTCACGTCTCAATTGCACCGGTGACCACCGCTACGTGTCTCCCACGCCGCTAACGCGGAGTGAAATGGGGTTAAACTAGATGGCTAGGACCCTCGAGCAGCAGCCGCGGTGTGCTCGTGACCGCTAGTGCGCAATTGACACGTGACTGTGGCTCAAAAGGATATTTTGCGGCCGCCATATTTACCGACCGTTAGTCGGAGGATAGCCCTGAAGTTATATAGAGAGAGATTCTCAAAGATGGCACTAGGTGCACTTATTCACTGCAGCAAATCTCAACTATTTAGGTGGCAGACAATTTCTTGTTTTTATTTCGTATTAGAATAATGTAATGTCAATTTGTTGGTTTTTCTATGTTAATTAAATAATTCTATGTTAATTAAATACTCATATGTTGCATCTGATCCCTGTGATACAAAAAGCAGAGATTGCTGATATGTTTGTGATACAGATTAATGGCTCAGTATATAAGATGCCTAAATACTGAGGATGAAATACATAACAGAGGGTTGAATACACAACTGAGAGCTGAATATACAACTAAAAGCTGAATACACAACTGACAGCTGAATACACAACTGACAGCTGAATACACAACTGACAGCTGAATACACAACTGACAGCTGAATACATAACTGACAGCTGAATACATAACTGACAGCTGAATACATAACTGACAGCTGAATACATAACTGACAGCTGAATACACAACTGAGAGCTGAATACATAACTGACAGCTGAATACATAACTGACAGCTGAATACATAACTGACAGCTGAATAAAGAACTGACAGCTGAATACACAACTGACAGCTGAATACATAACTGACAGCTGAATACACAACTGAGAGCTGAATATACAACTAAAAGCTGAATACACAACTGACAGCTGAATACACAACTGACAGCTGAATACACAACTGACAGCTGAATACACAACTGACAGCTGAATACATAACTGACAGCTGAATACATAACTGACAGCTGAATACATAACTGACAGCTGAATACATAACTGACAGCTGAATACATAACTGACAGCTGAATACACAACTGAGAGCTGAATACATAACTGACAGCTGAATACATAACTGACAGCTGAATACATAACTGACAGCTGAATAAATAACTGACAGCTGAATACACAACTGACAGCTGAATACATAACTGACAGCTGAATACACAACTGAGAGCTGAATATACAACTAAAAGCTGAATACACAACTGACAGCTGAATACACAACTGAGAGCTGAATATACAACTAAAAGCTGAATACACAACTGACAGCTGAATACACAACTGAGAGCTGAATATACAACTAAAAGCTGAATACACAACTGACTACATAACTGAGAGCTGAATACATAACTTTGTGAGGTTAAGCAGTCATGTGCAGGACATGATGATTCCTTGGGTGAGCCTAGGACCAGAGGGTCATGTGTTGGCTCTGCATTTATGGAAGCCTCCATAGATGGTGTGGAATGCCCATGATCTGCTGCTGCTTTCCCTTGAGTGCTGACCAGTCTACACATGACTGCCCTAGATGGGTTCTTAGGGACAACATCTGCAGATAAAGGAACAAAGAGGACACCACACAAATGAGGCAGCATCATGTCCCACTCAACAATGGCTTAAGCCATTCTACAGATAGGATCAATGTTCTTCTTTGAAGTCAGAGTGCATCTGCCTGAGAGGCAGGAAACAAGAATTGCACATTAATAAGCCAGTAAAATGGATGTACACACACAACGTAGGCCCTGGTACAAAGCCAAAGTGCAAATGGATGAACAACCAGGATTTTTCACAAGAATTCACAGCCAGTGAATGAAAAGAAAGCAAGAAGGAGAATGAATACATGAGGGTTGAAAACGTAACTGAGAGCTGAATACATAATTGATAACTGAATACATAACTGAAGGCTGAATATATAACTGATCGTTGAAAATACTTTCATAAGTTACTGCAACTGTTCAACAGGTAATGACTTGCTGGGTATGAGGAGTTCAGTTTGCCTTGTACAGATGATAGAAAACACACAACACAAATTTACCTGTGTATATTCATAAGGAAACTCTGGCTCTGGATGCCAGCACAGGATGGTATTTTTGTCTGGTGAGAGGCAAACACTCGGTGGTCTGTGTGAGAACATTGATCATAGCACAGCATTACCAAAAGTTGTGAATGACCAGAATGGGGTTAGTGTATTCTAATAAATTATTCCGTGGTCTGTGTGAGAACATTGATCATAGCACAGCATTACCAAAAGTTGTGAATGACCAGAATGGGGTTAGTGTAGTCTGATAAATTATTCCGTGGTCTGTGTGAGAACATTGATCATAGCACAGCATTAACAAAAGTTGTGAAAGACTAGAATGGGGTTAGTGTAGTCTGATAAATTATTCCGTGGTCTGTGTGAGAACATTGATCATAGCACAGCATTAACAAAAGTTGTGAAAGACTAGAATGGGGTTAGTGTAGTCTGATAAATTATTCCGTGGTCTGTGTGAGAACATTGATCATAGCACAGCATTACCAAAAGTTGTGAATGACCAGAATGGGGTTAGTGTAGTCTGATAAATTATTATGTGGTCTGTGTGAGAACATTGATCATAGCACAGCATTAACAAAAGTTGTGAATGACCAGAATGGGGTTAGTGTAGTCTGATAAATTATTATGTGGTCTGGATAAGAATATATTTTAGACTTCAAGCCCAGTAGAGAGAGAGAGAACAGGTATGGCAGAAGGTTAAGCTTTGAAGCTATTTTTGCCTTTGACAGCGTTTTGCTAATGCAGTTTCCACACACGGATGCAAGTCTATGGCTTGGCTGCTCCAGCTACTGAGTTCAATGTTGTGTGCAGCACTGTGAGATTTGTTTCTCCTGTGGAATGCATTTCATTTGTGCAGCCCTTTCGTCTTGGTATTCCGTATGGCAGATAGCCAGTGAACAAGTGGGCTGGGGAAATATCTTAATTGGCAATGGCCCATGAGTTAACAGTATGTGTTGATTCCTCCCCACCAAAACAAATGATTGACATTCTGTTTCTGGGAATAGTTTTTACCAAGTTTGCTTTTTAGACCAGTGCTTGTCAACCTATGGGTCGTGACCTTTTGTTGGTCGAACGACCATTTAACAGGAGTTGCCAAAGACCATCGCAAAACACATATTCAATGAAGTTATAAAGTAGCGACCAAAAAAACTGTATGATTTGGGCTCGCCACAACATGAGGAACTGCCTTAAAGGGTCGACATAACATGAGAAACTGTATTAAAAGGTTGACACAACATGAGGAACTGTATTAAAAGGTTGACACAACATGAGGAACTCTATTAAAGGGTCGACACAACATGAGGAACTGTATTAAAGGGTCGACACAACATGAGGAACTGTATTAAAAGGTTGACACAACATGAGAAACTGTATTAAAAGGTCGACACAACATGAGGAACTGTATTAAAAGGTTGACACAACATGAGGAACTGTATTAAAGGGTCGACACAACATGAGGAACTGTATTAAAGGGTCGACACAACATGAGGAACTGTATTAAAGGGTCGACACAACATAAGGAACTGTATTAAAGGGTCGACACAACATGAGGAACTGTATTAAAAGGTCGACACAACATGAGGAACTGTATTAAAAGGTCGACACAACATGAGGAACTGAATTAAAGGGTCGACACAACATGAGGAACTGTATTAAAGGGTCGACACAACATGAGGAACTGTATTAAAAGGTTGACACAACATGAGGAACTGTATTAAAAGGTCGACACAACATGAGGAACTGTATTAAAGGGTCGAACGAACATGAGGAACTGTATTAAAGGGTCGACACAACATGAGGAACTGTATTAAAAGGTTGACACAACATGAGGAACTGTATTAAAGGGTCGAACAACATGAGGAACTGTATTAAAGGGTCGACACAACATGAGGAACTGTTTTAAAAGGTTGACATAACATGAGGAACTGTATAAAAAGGTTGACACAACATGAGAAACTGTATTAAAGGGTCGACACAACATGAGGAACTGTATTAAAAGGTTGACACAACATGAGGAACTGTATTAAAAGGTTGACACAACATGAGGAACTGTATTAAAAGGCTGACACAACATGAGAAACTGTATTAAAGGGTCGACACAACATGAGGAACTGTATTAAAAGGTTGACACAACATGAGGAACTGTATTAAAAGGTTGACACAACATGAGGAACTGTATTAAAAGGTTGACACAACATGAGGAACTGTATTAAAGGGTCGACACAACATGAGGAACTGTATTAAAGGGTCGACACAACTTGAGGAACTGTATTAAAGGGTCGACACAACATAAACAACTGTATTAAAAGGTCGACACAACATGAGGAACTGTATTAAAAGGTCGACACAACATGAGGAACTGTATTAAAAGGTCGACACAACATGAGGAACTGTATTAAAAGGTCGACACAACATGAGGAACTGTATTAAAAGGTCGACACAACATGAGGAACTGTATTAAAAGGTCGACACAACATGAGGAACTGTATTAAAAGGTTGACACAACATGAGGGAACTGTATTAAAAGGTCGACACAACATGAGGAACTGTATTAAAAGGTCGACACAACATGAGGAACTGTATTAAAGGGTCGAACAACATAAGGAACTGTATTAAAGGGTCGACACAACATGAGGAACTGTATTAAAAGGTTGACACAACATGAGGAACTGTATTAAAGGGTCGAACAACATGAGGAACTGTATTAAAGGGTCGACACAACATGAGGAACTGTATTAAAGGGTCGACACAACATGAGAAACTGTTTTAAAGGGTCGACACAACATGAGAAACTGTATTAAAGGGTCGACACAACATGAGGAACTGTATTAAAAGGTCGACACAACATGAGGAACTGTATTGAAGGGTCGACACAACATGAGAAACTGTATTAAAGGGTCGACACAACATGAGGAACTGTCTTAAAGGGTCGACACAACATGAGTAACTGTATTAAAGGGTCGACACAACATGAGGAACTGTATTAAAGGGTCGACACAACATGAGGAACTGTATTAAAGGGTCAACACAACATGAGAAACTGTATTAAAAGGTCGACACAACATGAGGAACTGTATTAAAGGGTCGACACAACATGAGGAACTGTATTAAAGGGTCGACACAACATGAGGAACTGTATTAAAAGGTCGACACAACATGAGAAACTGTATTAAAAGGTTGACACAACATGAGGAACTGTATTAAAGGGTTGACACAACATGAGGAACTGTATTAAAGGGTCGCCACAACATGAGGAACTGTATTAAAAGGTCGACACAACATGAGGAACTGTATTAAAGGGTCGACACAACATGAGGAACTGTATTAAAGGGTCGACACAACATGAGGAACTGTATTAAAGGGTCGACACAACATGAGGAACTGTATTAAAAGGTTGACACAACATGAGGAACTGTATTAAAGGGTCGACACAACATGAGGAACTGTATTAAAGGGTCGACACAACATGAGGAACTGTATTAAAGGGTTGACACAACATGAGGAACTGTATTAAAAGGTTGACACAACATGAGGAACTGTATTAAAGGGTTGACACAACATGAGGAACTGTATTAAAGGGTCGCCACAACATGAGGAACTGTATTAAAAGGTCGACACAACATGAGGAACTGTATTGAAGGGTCCCTGCATTAGGAAGGTTAAGAACCAATACTTTGGACAGTTGCAGTCCCCCGTTGATAAGATTGTGTCTTCCTGGATAGAGGGCCACCGCAAGCAAAACACTGCAAAGGCAAGGTGGTCGAAGCTGCCAAATCTACTGGTCATTATCCCGCCCTGACACAGCACAACTATAATACACGCTGCTACTATGAAAAACACATATTCTGTGTATCCTGTGTCAGAAATGCGCACACAATTACAGTCCATATAGAGGGAACAGAACAATCCAAGAGAAACTACAACCATTAAAAAATAATACTGCTGCTATTCGCCATTTTGAAAATGAAGTCCGCAAATATCTTGCTCAATAATTGTGCCTGAGTATGGCCAACTTATCGCGACTGACTACTTCCATCAACAACAATTGCATTTCTGGTGGTAACTCTTGGCTTTGGCACCTCTAGCAACTGCCTTACACATTTACAGGTGTGCATATTTCCGGATTGTGCCAGGACTAATTGTCTGTTCACTAGTATTTCTAATGGGAAAGTGAAGGAAATGTCATTTGATTTTAACTGAACACCTACAATAACATATAAACAAAATTTAAAGGTGTGAATTAGCCACATGGAGTTGTTTTGTCTAGCCTACATCTAGTGAGTGGGGTGGGGGGTGGGGAAGGTCAACTGCTGCCTTGGGCTTGGCCTTTAACAAAACCAAATAAAGTCGCTGGAAAATTGATATCGGAAATCCTGAAAATACATTTTAATGACACATTACCCACTGTACTCATTACTGCTTTATCAATATGATAAAGATTTACTCGACCTGATGATGTAAATATAGGCCTAAGTAAACACATAAATACAATTTTAAAAAGAAATTTGCCTTTTGGATGAAAAAAAATAAACCATGGCTGTCGTTTGGAAGGGCAGTCACCATCCATAATGACATCAGGTAATGTCACTTCTGGTGATTCAAGTCCTGACATCCACACACTTCACCAGCATTCATTTTTATAAGGAAGGTATCAAATGTGTGTGTTTTTTTTTTCTTTTCTTTTTAAATTGTCCTCAAAGTGTCCAAGCATCGTCATGTAATGAACTGATCTGCTTATTAACTTCAGCGCTGTCTGAGTGGCATTTTCTTATCAAAACCTGCATTACTGTCCAAGTGGACAAACATTGCTTAATGTCATTACCTATAACAGGCCCGACATCATCTTTTTCCTTCAGGGATGAGGGATGAATACTGACCTTTTGGGCGAATATCAAACAGCTTTCGGGTGAATATCAAACAGCTTTTGGGTGAATATCAAACAGCTTTTGGGTGAATAACAAACAACTTTTGGGTGAATATCAAACAGCTTTTGGGTGAATATCAAACACCTTTTGGGTGAATATCAAACACCTTTTAGGTGAATATCAAAGACCTTTTGGGTGAATATCAAACAGCTTTTGGGTGAATATCAAACAGCTTTCGGGTGAATATCATACACCTCTTGGGTGAATTTCAAACAGCTTTCGGGTGAATATCAAACACCTTTTGGGTGAATATCTTTAAACAAAAATTTCAATGATAAAAAGATAAATTTTTAAAAAGACAAATACTGGAGCTGCACTGTACAAAAAACCAGTGTCTCGTGAAGAACCCATCCTTCTTGGAATGGCCCTGGTTACAGAATTGGGAGAGCTGAAATTTGTTAAATTTTCTACACAAGTCAACTCTGGTAATAAACCGGATGCATAGATCTTTATAAATCTTCCATAAATGGAAGGGCCTGATCCCCGGAAATGAAAAGAACTGATCATAGTGGCAACAGTAAACGGTGGCCCAACAAGTCACAGTGCTAAGGGACTACAGATAGACAGACAATGACAGAACAAACATAATTTTAAAGGGTCACAAATTGGAAGACAGAGGGAGGGATGGACAGACACAGAAAGACATTTGCAAACTTCATTAAATATTTGAAGGTTTAAATCAAGATACTATGGCCAACAATTGAAAAATGATTTGTTTCGTTACCTTGATGTAGAGGACTTATGTATGGCCCTTGTCATGCGGGAACAACTCCCATTAAGAACTGGGGATACGTGAAGGGAGAAAAAAAAGAAATTTAATTTTTTATTTACAGTCAAAGAAACAATAAAATGCAATATCACTTGATCAGAACAATGCCCATTTGAAACTGGCTTCGCGAATGTCGGCTGGGGTTTCGGGATGGGCCCTAATCTCTCATGAAATTTTGCGATTGGTGTGATTTTCACCCACTATAAAAAGCTGAAAACGGCGGGAAGGAACCCGATTAACAGCGCATGTGTACGACAGCCGGACGACCTCTGTTTTTCTGTTACATCAGTTTGATTGAAAATAGCGATAAGTATTCAGGGTTGGCTTTTTTAGGCTTTAACTGTTACTAGACATGGTAATGCTAGTTATAATTGAATTCTCCGTCCAATTTTAAATTTATATATAAAATTTATTTCTTGTCAGTGGCTATTTAGATGTACAGTGACATTTTTCAGGCAATCGCTGGCTCAGCCAGTGGCTGTGTCTCATTGCCTGCCATCTTTGGTTGCGCAGAGAAAACTTCTTGTTTCTGGGACACAAGTTTTCAACAGCTGTTTTTTACATCTCATCTCCACAAAAACCTACATATCTCAGCTCAAAAATGGCACACAAGCCTAAATGAGGTACCATTGGAAAGAGATTGTTTACAAACCACATTTTTTTTTTTGAGGGGGGGTGGGGCCAACAATTTACAATTTTTGTTTTAAATCTACTATTCAAATCTAGAATCAATACCACCCATCTTCCTCGGCACTTTTAAAACCCACCTAAAACTGTGAACCTGTTTAGGAGAGCACAGGACTGTCGCAAGGACACGCACACCGCCATGTTGTTTACTGGTCGTTTCCTGTGCCAGATACCAGATAGCTTCTGTTTTCTAAAACTAAAGAAAATTCTGCCGACAGTTGTAGAAATATTAATTCACATTTGGTTTCTCTGTAAAAAGTGTATGCAATAATTATCTCGTCTCCTCATCATCATGTAGCAAGTCCTTTGCAGAACGTCGCTCTCATCACGGTCTGCCTGAAAGAAACTCGTTCTTTCGCCAGTTCTCCCGCCTCATGCACATTCATACTCAAAGAGCCACTTATATCCTGTGCCCTCAACTTTATTCTCTTTCCACAAAGCCAGGACAAATTGAACTGTACCAAGAAGGCAACATCCTTCCAAAAGAGGATAACCCTACATATTTGGGAGTAAAATTTGACAAAAGGCTAACGTGGGGCCCCCACATTGAAGACACCCAAAGGAAAGCCACACTGAGGCTCAGTCTTATGAAGAAACTTACTGGAACAGGCTGGGGTGCAGATGCCAACACTGAGCGACAAGTATACACTGGATACGTACGACCAAAACTGGAGTATGGCATGGGAGCATACTCCACAGCAGCGAAATCAAACCTACACAAACTGGATAAAATATAGAACACTGGTCTCAGAATAATCACTGGAGGAAGGAGAAGCACACCAGTTAATGAGCTGGAGGCAATCTGTGGCCTCGTGAGCTTGAGCCTTCGAAGGGAAGAAAAGGTGCTTACCCTAACAGAAAAATTTTAACGCATCAAGAACAACCCCATGCACAGAATAGCAAATAGCTTAACCAAAAAACCGACTGAAAAGACAAAGCTTTCACCATCTACCAAAACTGTACTACACAAAAAACAGTGACATCCTTTCTTAAGATCCTTCAACATGGGAAATGATCCAGGCATACAGCAAAGACCTACAGCCTAAATATACAGTCACAACAACAAATCCAGGCATAGACAGAAAGGCTGAAGAATGTGACCTAGTACTGCGTGTAAAGACCCTTGAACATGTCTACAACTGTTATCCAAAACCCGAATGGACCAATAGATCATTGGAGGGAGCAGGCAAAAATGGAGGAGCTGGATCGGTCATCATGCTGCAAGATAGGACCACAATAGAAACGTCATGTGCTTCCGGAAGACTCTCAACAAACTTCAGAGCAGCAAGCAATTATTGATTCAGCCAAAGTGCTCGAGGAAAGAAAAATTAAAAACCGCAAAATTTGTTTTCCTTTGTGACTGCATGCCAGTCCTCCAGGCGACTCATAGGGATCCACGAGACAACATGGAAAGAGAACTGATCCGTCAGCTAAACAGACTCACAGAAAACAATCAAATCGTTCTTCAGTGGATCCCGCCGGCTCACTGCGGCATACCAGGAAATGAGTTAGCAGACAGACTTGCAACAAATGGAACCAAGGAGAAACAACACACCCATTCATTGACATTACCAGAAATCAGAACACTTATCAAAGGAAAATACAAGGAATTGTGGAGAGAACAAACTAGCAGTAAACATCCACAAGACCCCATCAGCAGACTCAACAGAAAGAAACATACAACAATTTTCCGTCTACGAACAGGACACTGCAGGCTCAACTACCACATGCATAAAATAAAGATTGTACAGTCCCCCCATTGTGCCTGTCAAACAGGACCCCAAACACCTCAGCACATTCTGCAGACCTGCCCACTCTACCTGCAATTTCGAAAAGACACCTGGCCTCAAGAGCAAAGTGTGCAGAGCAAGCTATGGGGAACCATGCAAGACCTGCAGCTGACATGCGAGTCCATAGAGGCAACCCACCTAAGAAGAAGAAGAATATCCTGTACCCATCTTCGTGTCGGTCAGCCCCCGCCCCTCCTTCCTGGTACGATGCCTTCTGCTATAGTTCTTTTCAATCTCTTCTACGTGCGGAATTTCAAGATCTTTTCTCTCCTCTCTACTTCTTAATCTTATTCTTCATTTGGACGTTGGTGAATTCTTAGTCTGCTTAGGATAAATGTCTTCCTGAAGACAGGCGATGAAACGACGAGTATTAGGGAGAAAATCTCATGTGGATATCCGGCTACTTTTTCTACGAGTATGAAGGTCTTAGTCAAGTGAACAGTCAATCTGATTTCACCATGTCACTACCGTTTCTGACCAGTCTGCCTGTTACTTCAATGTTGTCCAAGCCAAAGAGATCTTGCATCGTTCTACAGAAGAGCCTATGTGACACACCTGCCTGTCTTTTGGTTAACCCCTTGGATGCACTTGATTTGAGACTTAACTTGGGACTTGACTTGGTGGGCCACAATGTGGCTTGAGACTTTCAGAACTTGGGACTTGACTTGGTGACTTGGTGCCTTGACTTAACTTGGGACTTGACTTGGTGACTTGAGACTTAACTTGGGACTTGACTTGGTGCAGACTTACTTGGGACTTGACTTGGTGACTTGACTGGTGGGACTTGACTTGACTTGGGACTTGGACTTGACTTGGTGCAGTGACTTCTTGGTGACTTGAGACTTAACTTGGTTAACTTGGTGACTTGACTGGTGACTTGGTGACTTAACTTGGGACTTGACTTGGTGCAGTGACATTCTTGGTGACTTGAGACTTAACTTGGGACTTGACTTGGTGACTTCTTGGTGACTTGAGACTTAACTTGGGACTTGACTTGGTGACTTGAGACTTAACTTGGGACTTGACTTGGTGACTTGACTTGGTGACTTGAGACTTAACTTGGGACTTGACTTGGTGCAGTGACATTCTTGGTGACTTGAGACTTAACTTGGGACTTGACTTGGTGACTTGAGACTTCAACTTGGGACTTGACTTGGTGCAGTGACATTCTTGGTGACTTGAGACTTAACTTGGGACTTGACTTGGTGACTTGAGACTTAACTTGGGACTTGACTTGGTGACTTGAGACTTAACTTGGGACTTGACTTGGTGCAGTGACATTCTTGGTGACTTGAGACTTAACTTGGGACTTGACTTGGTGCAGTGACATTCTTGGTGACTTGAGACTTAACTTGGGACTTGACTTGGTGACTTGAGACTTAACTTGGTGACTTGGTGACTTGAGACTTGGGACTTGACTTGGTGACTTGAGACTTAAGACTTGGGACTTGACTTGGTGACTTGAGACTTGGTGACTTGAGACTTGACTTGGACTTGACTTGTGACTGCAGTGACATTGGGACTTGGTGACTTTGGTGACTTGAGACTTAACTTGGGACTTGACTTGACTTGGTGACTTGAGACTTAACTTGGGACTTGACTTGGTGACTTGAGACTTTGGGACTTGACTTGGTGCAGTGACATTCTTGGTGACTTGAGACTTAACTTGGGACTTGACTTGGTGCAGTGACATTCTTGATGACTTGAGACTTGGGACTTGACTTGGTGCAGTGACATTCTTGGTGACTTGAGACTTAACTTGGGACTTGACTTGGTGCAGTGACATTCTTGGTGACTTGAGACTTAACTTGGGACTTGACTTGGTGACTTGAGACTTAACTTGGGACTTGACTTGGTGACTTGAGACTTAACTTGGGACTTGACTTGGTGCAGTGACATTCTTGGTGACTTGAGACCTAACTTGGGACTTGACTTGGTGACTTGAGACTTAGCTTGGGACATGACTTTGTGACTTGAGACTTAACTTGGGACTTGACTTGGTGACTTGAGACTTACTTGGGACTTGACTTGGTGACTTGAGACTTAACTTGGGACTTGACTTGGTGCAGTGACATTCTTGGTGACTTGAGACTTACTTGGGACTTGACTTGGTGACTTGAGACTTAACTTGGGACTTGACTTGGTGACATTCTTGGTGACTTGAGACTGACTTGGTGCAGTGACATTCTTGGTGACTTGAGACTTAACTTGAGACTTAACTTGGGACTTGACTTTGGTGACTTGAGACTTAACTTGGGACTTGACTTGGTGACTTGAGACTTAACTTGGGACTTGACTTGGTGACTTGAGACTTGGTGACTTGAGACTTAACTTGGGACTTGACTTGGTGACTTGAGACTTAACTTGGGACTTGACTTGGTGACTTGAGACTTAACTTGGGACTTGACTTGGTGACTTGAGACTTAACTTGGGACTTGACTTGGTGCAGTGACATTCTTGGTGACTTGAGACTTAACTTGGGACTTGACTTGGTGACTTGAGACTTAACTTGGGACTTGACTTGGTGACTTGAGACTTAACTTGGGACTTGACTTGGTGACTTGAGACTTAACTTGGGACTTGACTTGGTGACTTGTGACTTAACTTGGTGACTTGGGACTTAACTTGGGACTTGACTTGATGACTTGAGACTTAACTTGGTGACTTGGGTCTTAACTTGGGACTTGACTTGGTGACTTGAGACTTAAGGCAGAGGAATGTCTTTATACTTCCGGTTGACGACACACGTCGTTCAGCTGCACTCGTCTCCTCTATAACTTCTTCAACTCACAGATAGTAATAAACGACCACACTGGCCTGACATTGTGAATTAAGTGTCCACCACAAACTTTTACACCTGTTACCATATATTCTCTTATTATGACCCCCAGTGACAGCCCATCTGGCATATACAGGTTTTTGTATTTGCTGAAATTGTCTAACAATTGTAACTAACAAGCAAATAACGTAATCTTTATCATCATCATCATCTTTATACAGATAGAAAATGAGTTTTTTTTGGACATCTATAACAAATAAGTTATTATCAGCTATATCAGTCTCGAGCATATTTTGTTCCCCCCGTTTAGGTGTTTTGTGTTAACTGCATGTTTGACGCGTCCGCTCGTGTAAAACGGGCATTTCCTCTTTAAAGTGTTAACGCCTTTTCCGGTCTCCCCAAAAGGGAACACGGTAAAAAGATGCCGCTGGCATTCCTATAACAAATGCCTACATAAATATCTGGCACAGCGTGGGAGGTCTTCAGTTATATAACTTTTTGCCAAACTCTCACATTTTTTGTTCTAATTATAGCATCAAAACATAGCAGAAAATTAACATATTGAGAGATTA